TTTTAGGTAAAACTCCTGGACACGATCCTGTAAGGGGGAAAGACCAAGTTCGGTATATAGAGAAGTAGAGTTGGGAGGTGCGTCACTGTATTTGCGTCTTGGTGGTGGAGGTGCGTCACTGTATTTGCGTCTTGGTGGTGGATGTGCGTCACTGCGTATTTGCGTCGTGGTGGTGGATGTGCGTCACTGCGTATTTGCGTCGTGGTGGTGGAGGAGGTGCGTCAATGTATTTGCGTCTTGGTGGTGGACATGCGTCATTGCGTATTTGTGTCGTGGTGGTGGAGGAGGTGCGTCATTGTATTTGCGTCTTAGTGGTGGAGGAGGTGTCACTGTATTTGCGTCTTGGTGGTGGAGGTGCGTCAGTGCGTATTTGCGTCTTGGTGGTGGAGGTGCGTCATTGCGTGTTTGTGTCGTGGTGGTGGAGGTGCGTCACTGCGTGTTTGTGTCGTGGTTGTTGGAAGAGGTGCGTCACAGAGTATTGTTGACACGAAGTTGACCACTGAAGGTAAGGTCAGGTGTCTGTGTGTGTGTGTCTGTGTGAGTCTGTTATAGGTCATGTCTGATTGCTATGGTAATGTTGTTGACGTGGTGGTTGTTGTTGTTGATGTGGTGTGGCTGCTGTTGTTGTTGTTTTTGTTTCTTATCACAACAACAAGTTAGATTATTTATGTCATGAGACTTAATCTTCAGGTGGTAATAAACTGGGTTGTCTAATTCCCGGCGTCTAGTGATCCCAGGCATTATTGGTAGGTCGTGTAAGCGATGTCCGTATGGTGACTAACTTAAATACCTGTAGAGCATGTAAGGTAGGGTTGGGTTAGGTTAGGTTAGGTTAGCATTAGGTTAGGTTAGGTTAGCATTAGGTTAGGTTAGCGTTAAGGTGTTGAATCATCAGGTAAAATAAGGTAGGGTGCCTAATGTTAACGTGGGCGGTAGGTGTATGGTGTAAGGTAGGGTGCCTAATGTTCACGTGGGCGGTAGGTGTATGGTGTAAGGTAGGGTGCCTAATGTTAACGTGGGCGGTAGGTGTATGGTGTAAGGTAGGGTGCCTAATGTTCACGTGGGCGGTAGGTGTATGGTGTAAGGTAGGGTGCCTAATGTTCACGTGGGCGGTAGGTGTATGGTGTAAGGTAGGGTGCCTAATGTTCACGTGGGCGGTAGGTGTATGGTGTAAGGTAGGGTGCCTCAATGTTCACGTAAGGTAGGTGTATGGTGTAAGGTAGGGTGCCTAATGTTCACGTGGGCGGTAGGTGTATGGTGAGGTAGGGTGCCTAATGTTCACGTGGGCGGTAGGTGTATATGGTGTAAGGTAGGGTGCCAATGTTCACGTGGGCGGTAGGTGTATGGTGTATGTAGGTGCCTGATGTTCACGTGGGCGGTAGGTGTATGGTGAAGGTAGGGTGCCCATGTTCACGTGGGCGGTAGGTGTATGGTGTAAGGTAGGGTGCCTAATGTTCACGTGGGCGGTAGGTGTATGGTGTATGTAGGGAATGCACGTTAACGTGGGCGGTAGGTGTATGGTGTAGGTAGGTGCCTAATGTTCACGTGGGCGGTAGGTGTATGTATGTAGGGTGCCCACGTTCACGTGGGCGGTAGGTGTATGGTGTAAGGTAGGGTGCCTAATGTTCGTAAGGTAGGTGTGGTGTAAGGTAGGGTGCCTAATGTTCACGTGGGCGGTAGGTGTATGGTGTAAGGTAGGTGCCTAATCTTCACGTGGGCAGTAGGTATGGTGTATGTAGGGTGCCTAATGTTCACGTGGGCGGTAGGTGTATGGTGTAAGGTAGGGTGCCTAATCTTCACGTGGGCAGTGGGTGTAAGGTGGAGGATCTGTGGGTATGTTTAATCAATAGGAAATACGTTTGATAAGAATGTGAAGATGTCAGTGTGGGTAACGTGTGCTTAATAACACACACAGGTACTGAATAACACACACAGGTACTGAATAACACACACAGGTACTCATCCATCCACCAGCTCACCACCCACACAACCTCCTTCTCACCCCTCACCCAACCCACACACACCCACCCACCCATGTAGACCTCTCATCTGTGTGTGTGTGTGTGTGTGTGTGTGTGTGTGTGTGTGTGTGTGTGTGTGTGTGTGTGTGTGTGTGTGTGTAAAAATATGTCAGGGGGAAGACTGCCTAATGACCCCTACCTGTAAACGGGGAGGGAGGATGGGGGGAGAAGACATGGGAGGATGAGAGAAGAGGAAGGAAGAAGAGGGAGAAGAAGAGAATGGGGAAGGGGAAGAAGAGGTAAAGGAGGAGGAATCTAGAGAGGTGAAAAGGGAAGAGAGAGAGATGGTAGAAAGGAAGGGGGAGAGGTGAAGAGAGACAGGGAGAATAAAGAAAAGGGAGATGGGAGAGAGGGGTGGTGAGTGGTGTTGGGGAGTCATTAGAGAGGGAAGAGGGACAAGATGGAGAGAAGAGAGGGCATGATAAACGAGATAAGGTACACACACACACACACACACACACACACACACACACACACACACACACACACACACCGTTAAAGACAGACCTTCGATAACACACATCAATCGAAAGGTGATATAATGGCTGCTTATCTTGGACCCCACCCCACCCCACCCCAACCCACCCCACACCACCCTCCCACCCTCCCCACCCCCACCCCACCCCACCCCCACCCCCACCCCCCACCCCCCCCACCCCCACCCCACCCCACCCCCCACCCCACCCTCCCCACCCCACCCCACCCCACCCCCACCCACCCCACCCCACCCCACCCCACCCCACCCCACCCTCCCCACCCCACCCCACCCCACCCCACCCCACCCTCCCACCCCCACCCCACCCCACCCCACCCCACCCCACCCCACCCTCCCACCCCACCGCATCCCACCCCACTCCCTCCCCACCCCACCCCCACCCCACCCCAACCCTACCCCACCCTACCCTACTCCCACCCTCCAGGACAGTACCCCATTGACGGAATCATACGCCTAGTGTACAAAAGGACAAAAATTATACCAGGACTGAACTATCACTTCCTCCGGACAAAACTCTATTATAGTTCGTCTCACCCACGGACAAAGACGACTGTGTGTGTGTGTGTGTGTGTGTGTGTGTGTGTGTGTGTGTGTGTGTGTGTGTGTGTGTGTGTGAGAGAGAGGGAATTGAATATGGCGTTTATGTAACATTGATTCTGTGGAGGTCATTCTTCCTACTTCCTTCCTCCTTCCTTCTTCACTCTCCCACCTCCCTCCTTTACCCAATGACCCCCTATTCCTCCTAACTCCTTCCTCACCCTCCCTCCCTCCCTCACCCACCCTCCTTCCTACCCTCACCCACCCACCCTCCCACCTCTTCCCACCCCCCATCCTCCTCTACCCCCATCCCTCCCTACCCCCCATCCTCCTCTACCCCATCCTCCCCCCCACCTTAACTCTTACACTAACCATCTCCTGTGATAACGTGGATTACCTTGGCTGACGCTGCTGCAGGTAAGTCAACAGAACCCCTCCTACCTGCCAGTTTCATCCAGGTATATGCTAATTAGTCGTACACCTGTATTGATTAGATTAGGATATGTTTATGTTTAAGGTGAGGTTAGAGAATGTTGGAGAGCTGTGTTATTAAGGCTATCTCTCTCTCTCCTCAGGCCTCCAACTGGCCTCCTAAACTGTCAAAGAAGTTCAAAAGTTCCTCCAATCTTGACATAATTTCTGTTGTTAATTAATTTTGGAGTCACCTGAAGAACAACCTCCTCTACCTCATGGCACATTAAGACTAATCTAACCTAACCTAACTTAACCTAACCTAACCTAACCTAACCTAACCTAACTTAACCATGTGAAATAAACTAAAGGTGAGAAAGCTAATTAACAGGTGACACATTTAGACACTAATATATTATGTATCACCATAACCTGACACTTTCAACACTTAGAATTCATTTAAACATACACTCCAACACTTAGAATTACTTAAAACATACACTCCAACACTTAGAATTACTTTAAACATACACTCCAACACTTAGAATTACTTAAAACATACACTCCAACACTTAGAATTACTTAAAACATACACTCCAACACTTAGAATTACTTTAAACATACACTCCAACACTTAGAATTACTTAAAACATACACTCCAACACTTAGAATTACTTTAAACATACACTCCAGGACAGACACACTTAAAACATACACTCCAACACTTAGAATTACTTAAAACATACACCCAGGACAGACACACACTTAAAACATACACTCCAACACTTAGAATTACTTAAAACATACACTCCAGGACAGACACACTTAAAACATACACTCCAACACTTAGAATTACTTAAAACATACACTCCAGACAGACACACTTAAAACATACACTCCAACACTTAGAATTACTTAAAACATACACTCCAGGACAGACACACTTAAAACATACACTCCAACACTTAGAATTACTTTAAACATACACTCCAGGACAGACACACTTAAAACATACACTCCAACACTTAGAATTACTTAAAACATACACCTGGTGACAGACACACTTAAACATACACTCCAACACTTAGAATTACTTAAACATACACTCCAGGACAGACACACTTAAAACATACACTCCAACACTTAGAATTACTTTAAATCCTCCCAAATATTTAGTATCCTCTTAGGCTATCGACCCACAGACACTACCGTACATTGAGAGACGCACTGACTGAGCCTTATGTACCCAACTTATGTTACACACACACACACACACACACACACACACACACACACACACACACACACACAACACACACAACACACACACACACACACACACACACACACACACAACACACACACACACACACACACACACACACACAACACACACACACACACACACACACACACACACACACAACACACACACACACACACACACACACACACACACACACACACACACACACAACACACACACACACACACACACACACACACAACACACACACACACAAAGTCCTGTGTACCATAAGTGGCTCTTGGTCACACATGAGTTAAGTCCCACGAGTATTGTGGCTTCATTCAGTGGGTGAAGTCGTCGTACTAAGGTGAAGTCGTCGCCTGGCGGGTGAAGTCGTGTGCCCAGGGTCAAGTCGTCGTACTCAAGGGTCAAGTCGTCGTACCCAGGGTCAAGTCGTCGTACCTAAGGGTCAAGTCGTCGTACTCAGGGGTCAAATCGTCGTACTCAAGGGTTAAGTCGTCGTACTCAGGGGTCAAGTCGTCACCAAGGGTTAAGTCGTTGTACCTGGGCCTTAAATCGTCGTTCTCAAGGGGTTCACTCGTCGTACTCAATGGCTTAACTCATTGTACTCAAGGGCTTTAGCTCACCGTAATCAACACAGAGGCCAAAGCAACACTGAACCTTATCACAGTAGCCATGAAAATAAATAGATAAGATAAGAAAGAGAAATACAATAAAATAAAGACTTATAAAAAGGTGTAATTAACCTATATAATTACCTGGTATATATATATATTAATAAGGTTAATTAGCCTATGTAATTAACTCATGTAATCAGGTAATTTCCCCTCTGTGGTTAATTAAATGGTATGTAGGAGTGAGGTAATCTTCTCTCAGGTTGAGGTGAGGTGAGGTGCTGGCCAGGTATGATAGTTGGATGACGAGGTGTTATGGTTATCAGACGCTTGTACAGGTGTGTGTTGTTCTGTCATCACACCTTCCCTCTCTCTCTGTATGTCTGTGGATGAGGGAGGGTGGGTGATGGTGGTGGGTGAGGGAGAGAGGGTGGTGGTGATGGTGGGAGATGGTGTTGTTGGTGGTGATGATGGTGGTTGCAGGTTATGAAGGACTGTTTACCTGTACACTTTACCTTTACGTGTACAGTATATGATCCCACCCCACACCTGTGATGGTCGGTGTGTGTGTGTGTGTGTGTGTGTGTGTGTGTGTGTGTGTGTGTGTGTGTGTGTGTGTGTGTGTGTGTGTGTGTGTGTGTGTGTGTGTGTGTGTGTGTGTTTATAATAATAATAATTAACGGTTTATTGAAAATTCTGCAGCCCGAAGGCTGAAAATATACATTGGACATAAATGACTTATTACATACATTGGTGGTTAACAAAAGCCTTCATTAGAGAAAGGTAAAGGAACATACAGTGAACATACAGATTAATGTAGGTGTTGAACAGCAAACACGTAGTGTAGTAACTCCCTCCCAGATGGTGTTGGAGGAACTCACGTGGTGTAGTAGTTCCCCAGATGTTGTTATGAGGACCTGGCGTGGTGTAGTAATTCCTCGCTGATGATGTTATGAGGGGCCTCACGTGTAGTAATTCTCACAGATGGTGTTATGAGGGGCCTCACGTGTGTAGTAATTACCTCACAGATGGTGTTATGAGGGCCTCACGTGGTGTGTAATTACCTCACAGATGGTGTTATGAGGGCCTCACGTGGTGTAGTAACTCCCTCACAGATGGTGTTATGAGGGGCCTCACGTGGTGTAGTAACTCTCACAGATGGTGTTATGAGGGCCTCACGTGGTGTAGAACTCTCACAGATGGTGTTATGAGGGGCCTGACGGTGCAGTAATTCCTCACAGATGGTGTGATGAGGACTTGTGGTGTAGTAATTCCTCACAGATGGTGTTATATGAGTGAGGTTTGGTCCCAGGCTTCTTCCTATCGTAGACGGATTAACACATCGGTGGTTGTTGTTGCTCGCGGGCCGTTATCACTGGGACAGGGACCTCACTGTGAAGGTTAACTGGGTACGACTGTTACTGCTGAGTTGTTCACTGACTTAAGCACTGTTCACCACTGTTCACCTCTGTTTAACACTGGTTTCGTTTCTTTCATAAATGAAATTGTAACTTCTGGCGAGAACTTGTTGATATTCCGGTGGGGGTTCAGGGGAGGGAGTTGGTATGGACCAACTTAACAGTTGACCTGGCTGCTCCGAGAGGAGCGCCAGGTACGTCTTGACCCTTCGGTGTGTGTGTGTGTGTGGCTGTATATGTGTTTATGCATATGTACGTGTGTGTGTGTATATACTTGAATCTATATACTGTGTTTATATATATATATTATTGTGTACACATAAACACCCAGAATTACCTGTGTGTGTGTGTGTGTGTGTGTGTGTGTCCGGCTACGTACATATTTTGCTGTGCGTGTTTATTGTGTTTATTATCTATGTGTATCTGAAGGTATGTGCGTGTTTGATAATGTGCACACGTTCTTAAGTTTCATGAGAACCCCGTTTGTATGTTCTGTGTACACGTAACCCTCCTGTCTGTCTGATGT